TGGTAAGATGGCGCCGGTGTAAGAGCTGCCTCCTCTCAGTGATGGGGAAAGGGTCATAAATCCGTTGTTGTTTATGAAAATTTACAACTTTGCAATACAACTTTATGAGTTGTTCGGCCCTTCCATTGGCCGCTGTCGGTCATGTGGATGGGAACCGTGAACATGAACTTTTTTATAATTTCCCTTGCGAGAATAGAGCCGCATTCTTTTGCTCTGCTCCGTCCTGCCTGCTTCGGAGCTCTGCCTTCCAGCCCGGCTCAGCTGCGCTTTGTCCCGCGATGGCGAGCGAGGGGAAGCCCCGGCCAGGCCAGGCCTGGCCGCTCGGGCTGGAGGTGGGGCGCGCCCAGTTCCCGGCGCCGAGGCGGCAGCTTTGCAACTCGCAACCTGGCTAATTTCCTGCGTCCTCTGGCACCAGGAAGGAGGACAATTCGTCTCGAGCTGCCCAAGCGACAGCTGTCAGAGGAGCAGGAGCTTCTGGGAGCGGCCATCTGAAGGTGAGACATGTGGGGAGGAGACAAGAGCAAAGGTGGTGAGGTGACAGCGGCGGCGGTAGCGGTGGGAGAGGGTATCCACGGTGGCTTTGAAGAGGGACATACTCATCCTCATCTATACTCACCCATTCACACTCGCCCCCATTACACGCTACAGCCCAAGCACGCGTCACACACACACACACACACACACACACACACACACACACACACACACCACTCCCTCTCTCTCCCCTTCCTGGCGCACCATAGCAGTAAGTGCCCGCCTTCCCTCCGTGGCACAGAGCGCTGGCATGGGGCAGCACCACTTGGGTCTTCTCTCCCCCCTTCCCAGCGACCCTGGGAAGCCCAAAAGGAAGTGACCCTGCACTCTGGCTTCCCCACCAGTCTCTTGGATTTGGATTTTTATTTTTTCATTCATGATCCCATTAGTTTGAATTCCCCAGTAGGAGACAATTCCTGACCTGGGAAGGTGGGAAGAGGCGAGGGTAGAGTGCATCAGTCCGCGGGCATTTTATTAGCATCAGCACAATACCTCTATTCCGTGGGAATTGGTTTCCGAGAGACAGAGGTAAAAGGGCGGGGGTGGGGGGGACAAAAACTTACTAATTCAGCCAGAGGTTTCCACTGATTGCCTGCTTCCCTTCGCAGAGGTTTCTGACGAGAGAGGCGTCTGAAGCGCTGGGAGAGGGACTAGGTGCGTGGGTGGAATTCTGCGTTGGAGGAGAGGATGGGGTTAATTGGCTGGGTGTTACTTGGCGGGAAGTTTCCGTACAGAGGACTTTGTGGTGCTAACGCGAGTGGCAGGGGCCCGCAGCTAAGCTTGAAGAAAGGACTCACATCGAGTCTGGGCGATGGAGTTACCCCCCCAACACACCTCGGAACACCTCGGAATGCGGACCGCATTCCCCACCTCCCGAGAGCGGGAAGAGGACTTAGAGCTGCCTGGGAGAAGGTGTGGAGGGTGCTGCTGGCGGTGGCTTTGCGTAGCGCGGTGGCACGAACTGTGTATCTCGGCCTAGGTGCGCATCGGGCCAGATTTGCCCTGGAAACTCCTAGGACAGCGACAAGAAAGGATCCCCAGGTTCTGGGATCGAGTTCTGTTTGTTTGTTTGTTTGTTTTTGATTGTTTCCCATCTTGAGATAGTATGTTGGTATGCGTTAGATATTTAAGAAGGGGTTGTGGATGTTCTGGGACTTTCATCCGCGCCCTGTGTGCGCTTCGGGCGGATAAAGCGGCGCATTTGCATCCTAGGGCCGCTGGCTTGCTGACTGCGGTTGCCGCGAGCCGATTATTTATTGCGACCGTGCTGGGCGCTCGCTGCTGCCACGGTGTGGCCATTGCGGGGACCGGCGCCAGCCGCAGCTCGTCTCTTGCAGCCTGGCGCGACTGCTGTACGGGCCCCTCAGAGATTTCCCAGCAGGCAGGGGAGAGGGGGACAAAAGGGGACCTGGGGGACGGTTTCCTAGGGCCCATTTGGCCGGGAATCTCCCTTCCTCGGCCACTCCTGACAGGAGCTGGAAGCCGTAATAGACACGGGTCTTCCCCCTACCCCCACCCCAGCACTATGGAGACTGGTTGCACAAGCCGCCTGGCACGTCATGGCTGCTTCTGTCCAAACTGCGCGTCCCAAGGCGCCTTGGGGGCACGCGCTGGTTCAGGGAACGCTCTGCCTTTGGGATTCTGAAATCGGAGAGACCACTGGTAGTCCCGAGGCCTGCAGGCCTGGCTGGCCCTGAGGAGTACTGGCTATGGCAAGGAAGGCGTGCTTTGGCTCCAGTAGAGGGCCTGTGACGGGCAGAGGCCGCACCTGTGTGCTTTGGGCTCTAGCCTGGACTAGCGATCTGGCTGAACTGCGGTGGCCTTTGAGGTCCCACACCCACATACCCCCAGGCCTTCCTCTAGGCTGGCGGAGGTCGAGGAGCTCAATGGGCAGCCCAGGGCAAGGGCAGACTGTGGGGCCCTGCTCGCCTTTCTGCCCCCCCTTGGAGAGAAGCTGAAAGGTAAGTCGGCTTTCTGTGTGGCTTTGACAGAGGAAAGCCCTGGGGTGGCCAGTCTCACCATCCCAGAGAGGCTCTCTGGAGGGTCTGGGGCTCCTACTCTTGTCTGAATGTGTTTCTCCCCTTCCCTCCAAATACATAGCTGGTTGGAGAAATAAATTGGTCGGCTGCCAACGTGAATGCACTAGCTTGGCTAACATGTAAAGATTTCAATTTAACATATTTTTTTCCATCTTAGTGCCTACAGAAGCTAGAAATAAAATGTTTTCTGGTTTTTAAGCTGAGAAATCAAATTGTCTCATTGGCTGGGACAATTATTAAATTGAAAATCCAGGTCAAAGCATAACAAATAATAATAGTAAACTGACACCAACCCCAACACTGTGTGGGACATGGAGGAATGAAAGAAAAATATAAATGTAAACATTTATCAATACCTCCAAACCAGTTATTTTCATCTTAATTAATAACTAGCTGAAAATCAGTCCCCAAAATAACTCAGACATGATATTCTTCAGTTTTTAAAAATTCCCTTTTTATTTTTTGACTCTTGAGTTTTCATTTTCACCTCTTGAATCCTTTCCCTGAAGAAATAAATGTAAGGGAAATGTCAAATTCTATCCTTTCCTTCGAGGCCCTTCTTTATATGCAAAGGAAAAACTTTCCCGGCTGGATTGACTGGGGCTCAGGCACAAAGCTTCCAGGTGCAGCCCCCATCTGCAGGCAAGCAGCCGCCTTCCAGGGTGCCCTCTTGTGTGGAAGTCGACCTTAGGCTAGTCCTTTTCCAATTTTTTCCCTTTGGAGGAAGGGAGGTCAGGGAAGAAATCGAAAAGCAAGGCAGAGATTAGTCCTTACCAGATTCCTAAGGGATCATTGTCAACTGCCACCTCCCCGCTAAAGTCCTGAATAGCCTGTGTTGGCCAGCGTTTTACAGATCTTACAAACAGTCTCCAGAAATCCAACCAAATCTCGTAAATAGTCTTTCTTCAATCTCCACAGAATTGAAGATTTTAAAGCTAATTCAAGGGATTTTACAAGCCCAACAAACACAGTCGTAAAAATGCCATTGGGCCGATATCACATTTTACAAAACGAGATTGATCCATGTGCTGTAAAAGTCAGCTATCTGGAAGGCACACCTCTCAGGCAAGAGAGAGAAGCCCAGGACAGGCTTTTCATGTCCTATCTGGGGATGGCCAGGCCTGGACGGTGGTAAAACAATTCAGGATTTCTGGAGCCAGTGAGACAACTATTCCTGGTTCTGGAGCAACTGCGGATGGTAGCCCTCGGAGCAATCCCAGGAAGGGCAGGAAAGAGGCCGCGCCTCAGGACAGTGCTGGCTGTCGGGCGCCCCAGAAACCAAGCCCATCAATTATCTTCCTGGCCTTGGGCCCCATCGTGCTACCTTCTGTGATCTGCTCAGCCAGGGGCCCTGCTTCTCCTATACCTCTTGAATGAGGGCAGAGAGATTCCACAGTTAAATTTTTATCTGTATCAGCTCTGAGCGGTTTGGGCAGACGATGGCAAGTCTCTGGGGTGCTGAGTAAGGGGAGCAGGTCCCAAAGCTGGCTTCGGAGCCCAGTCTCACAGCTGCTCCTGTAGGTCCTTTCTCCTTGAAATTGGTGGTTTCTGGCCTCTCAATTCCCTGAGTTCAAGGGCAGGATGAGTGTGCCCAGCTGGAGAGGGTGCTTTGAGGATGAGCAGGCACAGGCCATTGCAGGAGTGGCCATGGGGACTCAAACAAAATGTTGTATGTGGGAGAAGGGTACTGGCGGGATGAGCCTATGTTTGGCTTAGTCCTGGTGAGCTTGAGGTGAGCTTCAGCTCTTGACTGCAAGGCCCAAGCCCCTGGTGAAAGTGGGGAATGAGAGAATAAGGGGGTTCACTGATTCCTAAGGTGCAGGATGAAGGGCAAGGAATGAAGGCTTGGTTTCTTGGAGCCCCTTCACCAGCTCAGGAGCCCGCACCCAGGAGTAGGGGAGCGCAAGGGGAGAGGTAACTCAGGACCATGCCTGGAGTGCAGGGCGGCATGTAGTAAAGCCACCCTTGTCACCACTCCTCCTGGCAAGGGACTGTCAGGTTTCCTGTTTGGAGGGAAAAAATAGCAAAATCCAACAAGGCAAAAAGGAGAGGAGGAAAGAGCGGACCTGGCGGGGTCTTGGTGGCGGCCCGGGCACTAATGCCTCTACCTCGGCTTGATCTGTGCGCCCCTGCACGGGCAGTGCCCGCCGCTGGCGTTCGGGAGGAGAGCCGGCCGGCTGGCTGTGAGTGCCCATTAATCTGCCGGGCGGGCGGCGGGCGGCGGGCTGGGGGCTGTTTGTAACTTTGCTGCCTCGGTCGCCGCGGTCCCCGGGGAGCGGGCTCCGGCGCTCGCTCCCATTGGCCGCTGCCGCGTCAGCTGGTGCGATTTGCTGCTGTCGCTTTTGGCGTTCGGCCATCCAGAAACAAACCAGTTCGATGACTACTAATAGTTATAGCCAGATGTACTAATACACAACAAATCACAGTCCTGCAGAGGGGCGCGCAAATGAGTTCCTATTTTGTGAATCCCACTTTCCCCGGGAGCCTGCCCAGCGGCCAGGACTCTTTCTTGGGCCAGCTGCCCCTCTACCAGGCCGGCTATGACGCGCTGAGGCCCTTCCCGGCCTCGTATGGGGCGTCGAGCCTCCCGGACAAGACGTACACCTCACCTTGTTTCTACCAACAGTCCAACTCGGTCCTGGCCTGCAACCGGGCTTCCTACGAGTACGGGGCCTCATGTTTCTATTCTGATAAGGACCTCAGTGGCGCCTCGCCCTCGGGCACTGGCAAGCAGAGGGGCCCCGGGGACTACCTGCACTTTTCTCCCGAGCAGCAGTACAAACCCGACAGCAGCAGCGTGCAGGGCAAAGCCCTCCATGACGAAGGCGCCGACCGGAAGTACACAAGCCCCGTTTACCCTTGGATGCAGCGGATGAACTCCTGCGCGGGTAAGGCATTTCCCTGCACTCCTCCCCCACCAAGATAGTGGAGGGAGAGGAAAGGAAGGAAGGAAGGAGGAAACAGAGGAAGTAAGAGAAAGTAGAAAGAGGAATAGAGAGAAAGGAGGAAAGAATGAGCAAAATGTCTTTGGTTTTTAAAAAGATTTTTTTAAAAAAAGAAAAAAACCCTTTCCCAATGGAACAGTCAGGCCATGCCAGAGGAAGGGCAGGGCACTAATGTCTATGTAAGGTCACACCTTAAGGGAGGGTGGGGGAATCACTGCCACGAAATGTGAGACCCATAACAGTGGCACCCTGAAGAGAGAGGGAGGCTGGTTGGGAGGGAGAGCCTGCCCATGCTGCACCTTGGTAACACCCTGCTCAGGTTCCAAAGCCAGAGGGCCTTTTGCACACATCATTGATAACTCCTCCTCACCTCCCAGCTCCCTCTCCTTTCTGCCCTTCAAAAACCATACGGAATGATATCCCCCATTTGGCCTCTTCCAGTGTCTCCCCAAAGCCTCAGAGGGCCACATTCCCAGCCTCAGTATTTTTTCTCCTTCACCCTCCCCTCCTCCCACTTCCCCTCAATTGCTCATTCTTGGCCAATTTCTGCCTTCTTCTGAGCCCCTGCCTGAGCCTCACACACCTGTCTGGGGGGGGGGACATCACCCATGGGCCCCTTTGACACCAGATGGGACAGCCCAACACAGTCCTATGTTGCCAGAAACCCCAGACTGCCCATAGCGCCATCTCTTTGCCCCAGGTTTCCAAAGACTCCACAGAGAATCCCCTTTTTCCTTGGAATAGGACAGAGCCTAATTCGTATCTTAAAACTGATAGTGTTTTGAGTTAAATCCACTTTTCATACGTGTGTGTGGGAGGCTTGCTGCATTTCTCAGAAGGGTCACAAAATTTGGGGGAATATGTAAAGATTTGAGAGGGCTGACCATTTTTAACTTTCCAAAAAAATGTCTTGAGTTCTGACATGGCTGGCCATAGTAGCATCCTCTCAGAGACCAGTGTGTGAATTCAGAGTGTCTACACTACTCACAGGGTTCCACACCACCCACCCCCAGACACTCACATACTAAGCCCCCATAAAAGGAGGACTTTGCTGTCCCAAATTAAGAATGCCCTTTCTATTATTTCCCCTGTAATAGTTTCCTTATGAGGCAGATTTTTCAAAAACAGTAACTTCCCACCCCAAGTCGTTTTAGGTGGAAAATATCTCTCTTGGTATGAAATAATATTCTCCCATCCAGTCCACTTTCTGCCCCAGACGTAGTGTGAGAGGCTGGAGTGAAGGCCCCTGGCGGGAGGTACGGGGCTGACTGGGTCGGTGGTCCACATGCTGGCTTACCGGCGCCCGGCCATTTCTGCCTGCAGGTGCTGTGTATGGGAGCCATGGGCGCCGAGGCCGCCAGACCTACACGCGCTACCAGACGCTGGAGCTGGAGAAGGAGTTCCACTTCAACCGCTACCTGACGCGGCGCCGCCGCATCGAGATCGCCAACGCGCTCTGCCTCACCGAGCGCCAGATCAAGATCTGGTTCCAGAACCGCCGCATGAAGTGGAAAAAGGAAAATAAACTCATCAACTCCACGCAGCCCAGCGGGGAGGACTCTGAGGCAAAGGCGGGCGAGTAGACTCCTGGGCAGGGACCAGGCCAGCGCAGCAAGCTTCTTCGGCTTTGCCTCTCGCTCTCGCCTGCTCCCCAACTTTTCTCCCCGCCTGCTCCCATCGGCGGCTTCCGCAGCTTCAGGAGAGCCCGGCGCGCCTGAGCATTTATTTCTTACAAACAAAAAACAAAACAAAAACCACACACACAGCCAATACCAGCAGTGGCGCGGGGCGCACTGTACACGCACAGTCCCGCTGCACAAGGCTGTCGAAACCGGCCCGGGGTTCCGGGATGCGCCCCAAATTCGCCCTGGGCTCCTGTGTTAGTGCTTCAGCGCTCCCCGAGCTCGGCACGCGGGATAGCTGGGGACGCGGGATTGCTGGGCCGAGCCCCGTTTCCTGTCTGGGCATCTCCGCCTCACTCCCCCGCCAGTAATCCCGAAGGGCATCACCAAATCCTCTCTGGCCACTGGAAAGAGGGGGTCTAAGGGCTGAGGCTCCAGCCTTGTCGCGGCCTCCAGGACGCCCCCAAATACGAAAAAGCTCATGGAACAAAGGGGGCCCCGACAGAGCCAAGTCTCTCGCCCCGCGCGCAACCGTCAGTGGAAGAGAAGCAGCCTGAGCCGAGTGGAGCTAACCTGGGCGCGGGTGGAACATTACAGCCAACGGGAGCGACTGGGCTCCCTCAGGCTCCGGGCTCCTGATTCCAGTTCCCTGCCGCCGACTGCGCCCGCGTCACCATCACAGCAGCTTTCAGGACCCAACAAGGGGGCCCAGGGCCATGGGAGCCGCAAGAATCCTGGCTTCCAAATGTGCCAGGAGCGCCTGCGACGCTGGGCCTCCAGCGGGGTGACTCCCTTTGCCTCTCAGATATATTTGTGATTTACTTTCGTCTTTCGAAGCCCAGGAAAATACAGAGATGCCAGGCACTGCCACGAAATACTTCCATTAGCGCCCTCATTTTACTCCTGGAGGTCTAAGCAAGCCCCCAATAACTTGGCCCACGGATCCCCAGACCCCAAGCAGCCTCTGTGGCCGCGGGGAGTCTGGGCCCACTCGCTGGGTTCAACGAGAACCCTCCGACTTGGGGCCTGGCTGGCTAGAGGAACGGGACCCTGTAGTGAAGATTCTCCAGGCTGGATACGTAAGCAAATCAAATAGCAAACTAATGACACGAAAACCATATTTACATGAAAGAAAAATCGACTACGGTTATAAAAGTGTATGGAATTTGACCTCGCCTCGGAGAAACACTACACAAAAGCTATCTTTAATAGACGCCTGTCATTTAAGAGCGGCAGGGACACTGTCCCTCATGCGCGCTCGCAAAAACAGAGCTGTAATTGTAGCTGCTGCTGCGAGCAGGATTTATTTCTCCAATTGGCTAAATGGCTTCCCCCCGCCTTCCCGAAGGTGAGATCTGTATTTTCAAAATTCAGAGCTGCCGGCAGGACTAGCAGAACCGACACCAGCCTCGACACAAAAATAAAATGGGCTGCAAAGCAGAGGGGAGAGGGGGGAATAAAGTTCTTGTAAATAAAATGCAAGTCACCACCTCCCCCCCAGTCCTCTGCATCCTCGCCCGGCGCGCGATCGGCAGCTGACGGCCTAACAATTGGTACATCCTAATGGAACTGCGAGGGAAATGCAATAATTTTGCCATAATGGGCTGTAACCTCAATTCGACCCCGGCCCTTGCAGCCCTGGGTCGGAAGCGGGGCGATGAGCCATGCCTCCAGCGGGTGGCGCTCGAGTCCGACTGAACGGCGGCGGCGGGCGACGGGCACGCGCCTGGGGCGCGCGCGCCACCCTTCTCGCCTCCACCCAACTCCCCCATTAGTGCACGAGTTTACCTCTAGAGGTCATCAGGCAGGATTTACGACTGGACAACAAAAGCACGTGATTCGAAGTCGTACCCCATATTTGGGTGCCTACGTAGGAGGGAACCAAGTACATGTCCCAGTCATTTCCATAATTCATCATAAATTGTGCAAGGGTGCTATAGACGCACAAACGACCGCGAGCCACAAATCAAGCACACATATCAAAAAACAAATGAGCTCTTATTTTGTAAACTCATTTTGCGGTCGCTATCCAAATGGCCCGGACTACCAGTTGCATAATTATGGAGATCATAGTTCCGTGAGCGAGCAATTCAGGGACTCGGCGAGCATGCACTCCGGCAGGTACGGCTACGGCTACAATGGCATGGATCTCAGCGTCGGCCGCTCGGGCTCCGGCCACTTTGGCTCCGGAGAGCGCGCCCGCAGCTACGCGGCCGGCGCCACCACGGCGCCCGCCGAGCCCAGGTACAGCCAGCCGGCCACGTCCACGCACTCGCCTCCGCCCGACCCGCTGCCCTGCTCCGCGGTGGCCCCCTCGCCCAGCAGCGACAGCCACCACGGCGGGAAAAACTCCCTGGGCAACTCCAGCGGCGCCTCGGCCAACGCCGGCAGCACCCACATCAGCAGCAGAGAGGGGGTTGGCACGGCGTCCGGAGCCGAGGAGGACGCCCCTGCCAGCAGCGAGCAGGCGAGTGCGCAGAGCGAACCGAGCCCGGCGCCGCCCGCCCAACCCCAGATCTACCCCTGGATGCGCAAGCTGCACATAAGTCATGGTAAAGCCAGCCTTTTTCTAAATCCACGCGGCCGCGGAAACGCGGCTCTCGGTCCCCTCTCTCTCCCTCGCCGCCCTCTCTCCCTGTCTTTCTCCTGGTCTCGCTTCTCTTAGCCCTATGGAGCCTCTCCCTGCTGTTCTTCCCCTGCCTTCCTCCTTCCTCCTTCTCTTCTTTGCAGCACTCTGCACCCACAAATAGTGGGAGAAATGGTCCCTGACTGGGCAAGTTTAGACGTTGAAAGGGGGAAGAAGGAAAAAACCTATCTGGAACCCCAGCGCCTTGAAACGCGCTTCGGGGTCAGGCCAGCCGATCAGGGTGCAGAGAGGTAGAGGATGGCAGTAGGAGCCATGAATCGGGCTTGTCAGGGCAGATAATTTATGAGGAGGGCTACGCTGGGGAAACAGCGTTACTAATTAGAGCCCCCGAAAAGAAGCTTGGGGGGAATAATCGAGGCGAGAGCCGGCGGGATTCTGAAGTTTGGGGGCAGGAGGGAGCGAGAAGGAAAGGGAAGAAAAAGAAAGCAGGCGTCCCAAGCATGCAGACTTGAACAGGAGGCGGCTTTCGGGGCTGGAACTTTAAGGGAGGGTGACCTGGAGGCCACTTGGGCGCTCAGAAAAGGGCCGTGCGTCAGTGGGCTTCTGAGCTGTGGGCAGCCTGGGAGGCTGTGTCCCCCGGCTCGGGACTCCCGGAGCAGGGCCAGAGGGCAGGAGAGGGGCCAAGGAAAGCCAGGCGGTCCTCCGGGACGCGGCTCCAGCCTCAGATGGGCCGATTGTTCCCAGAGTCCAAATCGCATTGTTTTCTCTCTAGAAAGGAAGAGGGAAGGAAATTCGGGAGGGGTGGGCAGGCAAGGAAGGAGGACTTGTTGAGCCTTTCTCCCCGTTCCCTGCTCAGGACCCTGGTTTGTCCAGTTGGTGGACTTTGGAAGCCAGAGGCTGAGGAGTTGGTGGCTAAACGGCTGACTTTTCTGTTGCAGACAACATAGGCGGCCCGGAAGGCAAAAGGGCCCGGACGGCCTACACTCGCTACCAGACCCTGGAGCTGGAGAAGGAGTTCCACTTCAACCGCTACCTGACCCGCCGAAGAAGGATTGAAATAGCACATGCTCTTTGCCTCTCCGAGAGACAAATTAAAATCTGGTTCCAAAACCGGAGAATGAAGTGGAAAAAAGATAATAAGCTGAAAAGCATGAGCATGGCGGCGGCGGGAGGGGCCTTCCGCCCCTGAGTATTTGAGCGTATAAAGTACTGAGCTGTATTAGCGGATCCCGCGTAGTGTCAGTACTAAGGTGACTTTCTGAAACTCCCTTGTGTTCCTTCTGTGAAGAAGCCCTGTTCTCGTTGCCCTAATTCATCTTTTAATCATGAGCCTGTTTATTGCCATTATAGCGTCTGTATAAGTAGATCTGCTTTCTGTTCATCTCTTTGTCCTGAATGGCTTTGTCTTGAAAAAAAATAGATGTTTTAACTTATTTATATGAAGCAAGCTGTGTTACTTGAAGTAACTATAACAAAAAAGAGAAAAAAAACACACAAAAAGTACCCCTTCAATCTCATTTAGTGCCAATGTTGTGTGTTGCACTCGAGTTGTTTAACTGTGCATGTGCGTGGAAGTGTTCCTGTCTCAATAGCTCCAAGCTGTTAAAAATATTTTTATTCAAACTACCTATATTCCTTGTGTAATTAATGCTGTCGTAGAGGTGACTTGATGAGACACAACTTAACTTGTTCGACGTGTAGTGACTAGTGACTCTGTGACAAAAACTGTGACTCCAAGCGGTGTGTCCCTGCGTGCCTTTGTAGGACCCTTTGCACGAACTCTGGAAGTGGCTCTTATAAGCTCAGCTTCAGTGATGTATGTTTTTGTGAACAAAGTTACAAATATTGTCCAAGTCTGGCTGTTTAAGCAAACTGTGATCAGCTTTTTTTTTTCTTTTTTGGTATTTGTTTTTAAGGAAAAAATACTGACTGGAAACAAAAAATAAACTTTCTATTGTAAGTTCTCTTGGTCTGGTTTGTGCCAAACAGCGAGCGGCTGTGTCTGCTTTTCCGTCTGTCTGTCCAGTCCTGGAAGCCAGTGAGTCTGAGGCTTCCTGAACAGAAGGCCTGTGCATGGAGACCTCAGACCACCACCCTGACCCATCGCGTCCCTAACTCTGACCCATCACAAAGTTCAGGGCAGAAGGTGGAAAAAGCTATAGGCGGTTCCAAAGACTGAGTCCACTCTGCCCATCTCTGAGGAAACCAAGTTAATTTGCTGGGCACCAAAAAGTAAGGAAGAGAAAGAAAGAAGGAGAAAAAGCCCAGGGCTTTGTGAGCTCCCTTGGGGCCACACAGATCCTGCCTCTTTCCTGAGGCTGCCCTAGGCCTCCACTTGCTGAAGAGGCTGTTATGCAGAGTTGTGGACCCCAAACCGCCAGCCCCTAACCCATCCCAGCACCCCTTCCCAACTCCTCACCCTGAACCCAGTTGGCTTCTTTTGCTACAATTAATTTGCTACAAATGGAAGGTACTTACCCCATCCTAGCTCGACTGGGAAACTTCTCAGAGCAGCTAAAGCGCAACTAGAGATTTGCACATTTACCGACTGCTTACACTGATGCCGTCTTTCCTTTTAAAAGTTATAAAACAGTAAACTTTATAAGCCCCAGTTCCGGCTATATGACATTTGGGTGCCAAATGAATAGGGTTTTGTCTATGAATTAGATCGTAAAATCATCCATAGCACAGACAGATCGGCTCACTGGCTATAAAACGTCACGTGGGGCCATTAAAGTAAGTTTTATGGTTTTGGGGAGTTGACATCCAACATTATATACCACATAACATATAATCTCACTGACGCTGGACTCCATTTGACTCTTTTGCAGGCTACGTGTGCCGCCTGGTCATTCAAACTGTCAATTTTAGGTCCAGAAGTGTCCAAACCACAAGTTCTCAAAACTCTCTGAGAAATGGCTCCCTCCGAGTTAAGGTAAGCTCGCCTCCTGAGCGCTTTCAAGTTTATTTGTACTCTGAAAACTTTCTCTCTGTCCTTCTCTCTCTCTCTCTCAACTCTGAGGCTGCCTCTGAATGCAAAAAGGGAGAGCAAACTTTTCCTCTGCCCAAATTAGCAGCGCCAGGAGGCAGCTCTGCGGAGGCCGCAGAGTGAACAGCGCCTGTGGCCGCGCCGCATCCCCAGGCCTAACTTTAATTGCTGCACAACCGCGGATGTTAATGACTTCCGCTGCTCCAGCCGGCGTGCAAAAAGATGATTTTTGTGTGCGAATGGGCCTGTGTGTGGCGACTTGGCAGGGTCGACCCCCTCCCGGCACAATCCGGGGCCTGCTCTTCGGGGGTCGCGGAGCCCTGGGGTGGGGGCTGGGAGACAGTGGGGCGCCGGCCGCGGGCGCGGAGGGCTGTGCGGCGCTGGGGAGTTTGAAAGAGAGGCCCGTGCAGGGCCCAGGCGGACTCTGGCGGGATTCCTTACGGGGCTGTGGCAATATGTCTTCGCGGGCCGGGGTCATTTGGCAGGACTGAATTGAGGCGGCGGCCTTCGGGCCGAGTTTCAGGCTGCCTCGCGGGAGCAGGAGGTGGCAGAAGCCGGCGAGGCGCGGGCTGCACCTCCAGGCTGGGCGCCTGGGTTGCGAGGTCGAGCTCAGGCTGCTAGAGCCCACTGGACGCTGGGGACCACGGGTCCCCATCTCCGGGGGCGCTCAGCATCTCCTCCCTCGCACCCGGGACCAGGCCCTGAACCTTGTTTGCCTGCACGTTGTTTTTATTTCGGTGGGACTGTTCTCACCCGCCTGTGAGTCTGAAGCAATAAACTTTATGGCCGGATTTAACTTTAGTCTTTGAATCCCCAGGCTAATTGAAAGGGATTAAAGCGCTTTCTTTTCTTCCGCCTTGCCTTTCTTCTCCCTCTCTTCTTTCCTTTTCCTCTCCTTTTTTATAGAATTAAAGCATCTATGCACAGGACCCTCAAAAGGCAACTTAGGCGTCCCCCTAGATAACATTAAGATTGGAGAAATTTACTTTCCCTCAGCATGCAGATGAATTTTCTCTTCCACACTGTGCTCTAAAGTTTGGGGGGAAATTGAGGTGTCTTCAATGCCCAACTTAAAAGTCCCCAGAGCCATTAGGCTGTTTTTCCTGACACATCATAAAGGGTAATTTAGGGAAGAAATTGGTCGTTTGTCAGTAGGATATTTCCGCCTTTCTTTTGTTAGCTGCTCTTTCTGTTTGATCCCAGGAAATTTACATAATCTATGATTTCCAAAACAGTCTCCAAAATTGCACCAATGGGTGAAGTAAGGTGAAATAAATTTTTCCTGGGTACAATTCCATACTGACTCCAGCCACCTTTTCTGGCCCCAAACCCCTACATTCTTCAATGGCAAAACCAAGCAGAGTGACTGGGGACTCTGGCCTGTCCTGCGGTCTTTTTCTGGATGGGTACCCATAAGGGATCTAGAAGATTTATCCACTCCCACTTTAGGAATTAAGCCAAATTCTCCAACTGCCTTCAGAAATGAAACAAAAAAACGGGATCTGCGTTCCTCCTTTGGAGCCGGGCAGTTTTTGCCAAGTGCTAATTAGTAAAGATATTTACTAAGTGCTTAAAGTGAAAAATTTTGAAGTATGGATTTGAAATTTCAGTAAACTTCATTGTGCAGAGACCACCTACACTCAACATAAGTCCAACAGATGTCCCCAAAGTGAAAGGTCCAAAAAGCAAAACCTGGAAAGTTTTTTTTGAAAAATCAAAATCCTCCCACAAGTCCTACTTTTCATGAACAGTGGCAAGGTGAAGAATCCCTGAAGTCGTTTTGTGTAACCTATTAAAATGAACATTGGTATTTTAGCATTCAGGAAGGTGTGTCCACATCTTAGTGGGAACCAGAATATAAACTCTAGATAAGTGTGGGTTCACTTCTATAATTTCATGTTACTGTGAAAATTCTGGAGTCTTTGTTTTGCTGCTCTGAGTTTTGGATTCTTTGTTGGAAAATATTAGGCTATAGTTCCATTTTAGTTACTCATTTGGTGATCTTGCTTGAGTGATTTCTTGGTGACTGAAATTAGAAGCAGGAAAAAGGAGTGATATGGATGCTGGTGGGTTCACTTGAGCAATTTGCGTAGAGAAAGCATCCACACCACTTCCATGGCTACATCCCACCCTGGGGTGTTGGGATGGGTAGAAAGGCATTGCAGTTATATCCAACACCACACAACATTGAGACTCTTTCCAAGAAATGGAAACAAAATTACAGGCTGTAAATATTATCAGCTTACTTATTTCTGTTTTAATCTTCACAAAACGTAAGTAGAATTTAAGAAAGCAGGTCAACCTACATGGAGTTACATGAATTTTTAAAAATACGTCATCCAGTCAGACCTATGAGTGTTATTGGAGGAATTTTTTCTTTCTTCCTATTTTCATAGGAAGTGTAGTAAAAAGGATGGTTGGTTATCTGCTCATTTTGTAGATAAGTTATTTCTTTTTGTACATTCTTTTGGGTTATTTTTGCAGAGGAACTTATTTAGGAAAAAGATCTCTGTCACTGAGGGCTTTATGAAGACATCCAGCCTCAGCTGGTGGCAGAAGTGTGTGTCTGTGCTTCTCCTCATCTTGTAAAAGGAGAAGGCAGCGGAAATGTGTGGGGGGCTTGTTTGTTTCCACAAGCTGAAGAGACAATATTTCCTGAACTATAAATATAATAGGAAGCTTCTGGTCACACTTACTTAGGTGTTTGGTAGGGTTTCCATGGTCTAATTTCACAACATTATGCTAAGATTCCTTTTCTCCTGCTCTTTCCCCTGCTTCACTGTTGGTGGCTCGGGGAGAATAAGACAATTTCCTTCCTACGAAAACCAGAGTCCTGTTCATTTCTTGAGATTCTAAGAATATTATATCCAAATAATTGGATATAATAAGTAAGGGAAAAGCAAATCACATCTTAAAAGATGTGCTATTAAAGAGGCAACCAACACTTTTAGCTCAAAAGATGCCCTTCTCAGCCTCTCCCCTGCCTTGGCTGTGGCTCTGTCCATGGCTTGCCTACTATGGAGAGTGCAAAGCATTGTGGGCTCTATCCCTTTCTCTTCGCAGAAATTTCCTTCCAGGCAATGACAAAAACTGTAAACTGGGCTCCCAGGCAGGGCTGAGGGGGTCAGCCTAGTTCCCACCCACATAGGGGAGGGGATCCACAGTCCTAGCCATTCTAAGCCCCACAAATGGAAGGTCTGCCCAGATTTGTTTTGTTTGGTGTTTTTCACAAAGAAATTTGTTCTTCTCCCACCAGGTCTCCTCCCCACAAAACAGTCTTTTCAATAATAATATTTGTTATGAAGGTTATTAGGTAATTATTGTGATTTTGTGAAGCAGCCCTTGCTGGAGGTGAAGTCTGTCATCGCCTAACAAATGACGCCCGCGCAGTTCACTGCCGGGTTAAGTAAATGCAGAGAAGATAAATCTGCACACCCTAGGAATCGCCAGCAGAGCACGCTTTAGTACAAGTTCACAGTCAACTCACCCGCCTGGGCCAGCTCTCCCAACAATTAGGGTTGCATCTTTATTTTTAGATAAAGGGAAAAATTGTCTCCACCTCCCATTGCCTGCTTTCCCCATCTTCTCTTTTCTTTCACTTTTTGAAAGGTTCTCCTGTTCTACTCCAAATTTTCCTTGTAAAATGGAATCATGAGTGATTTCAAGTTAATCTCATTCCTATCTAAGTGCTGACAAAAGGAGATAGGAGGCTGATTTGACAGGAAATGCAGTCACAAATACAAAAATATCCAGTTTACCCTCTAATTCCAAATGGCACTAGCAGAGGCAGGGTGTCCTGAGGTCCTAGAGGGCCCCTTCCCCCTGAAAGAAGAGGCTCAGCTTTGTATATCTTTGAGGTTAGTGCGTTACAACTGCAGGTCAAAAAGTTGAGGGTCAAAAGTTTACATTGTGCAGCACTCTTAGTCATCTGTCCAGACAGAGTTTGATGTCAATGTTAGAGCTGCGATCTTGACT